AGCCGCTGAGAGGTCCAAAAGAACAAGGACAGAGGAGTAACCTCTGTCCCGGGCCCTCCAGAGATCATTGACCAACGCGACCAATGCCGTTTCCGTGCTGTGTCCCGGCCTGAAGCCCGACTGGTATGGGTCTAGATAGACTGCTTCATCCAGGTGCCGAGGGAATTGCCGCGCAACCACACTCTCAACAACCTTCGCCTCTGGCAGGGAGCATAGGAAATCTTCCCTTCCCCTCCCAGCAGGCAGGTAAGTGACCGCTGCTGAGTGGGGGAAGAAACAAGGGATTGTGAGAATGTTAAAAATGAAGATCATATGACTTCAGTAGTAGTACAGCAGCATCGAAACAGCCACAACTTTCCCAAATTACATTCCCTTGGGAGCCAGGGGAGCCAGGATTCTGGACATACTCTGTACATTAGCCTATTGAAGGTATCCTGGTTCAAAAACGGTTGCCCTATGATGCACCATTTCACCCAGGTTACGACAATAAGAGCTTAGTAGTATATACTGTAGATAGCAGTCATATTTAAAAATGAGGTGAATTTTGATAAACAGGCATTTCCTCTTTCAAATTCATTTCAGCGTTAGAGAGTGACACTTATTTCTAACCTAAGGGCAATGGTGCCTCTTTTGTTCCCTGCTGCCGGTGCTTAGCACTCACTTCTCAAGCGTGGCCAGTAACTGGTCCGGCTCAGGACTATCCTGGATTTGGATCATCTGTTCACGGCTCAGCCGGATAATGTCACACAAAGATTGCGAAGCATTGGAATGTTGCTGGGAAGAGGGAACAAGAAAAAAAAAGAAACTTTATGAAGATCTCTTCTAGTTGGGACAGCACCTGAATGCACCAGAACTACAGCAAAGCAACTGCTTGTTTCAGTTTCCATTTACTGTTATCGATCAGCAGAAAGCAATCCAATGGCAGGACCAACACTGCACACAACTTATATACAAACAAGTACCTCTATAATTGTAATTGCTACTTACATTGTCGTCTTTTGAAGGGTGGATCATCCCAATAAGCCTCTGTACAATTTTCTCCTCATTAAGCCACTTTGGATGATGAAAACAAAAGAATGGTAAGACTAAAGAAAGATGTCTCAGATCTGCCCCACTTATACATTGAAACTGATTCAGGGACAAATGCAGTTCTAGTGATGCGTCACCTTTCCCCCAAAGTCTATCACTGAGCTATGTTTATTAGTGTAACAGTAAAAAAAAAAAAGCCTCATAATAAAATCTGACCAGTGAAAAGGGTCAAAAGAAATGGAATATACATGTAAAAAATAATTATCAAGATTTCAGAAGATTCAAGTGGTGGTTATTCTAGATAAATAGGTTAATAGGTATTCACTGACTTTAAAGCTTTTATACCTAATCCTTGATGGACAGGAAATGGTTCTTGTTGGCAAAGTTGCAGCAGAACATTGTGATACCTACAATAATCCATTTAATCCATTTAAGTCTTTTAAATGGCTATTGCTCATAAGAAAGAAAACTAGGGCATGACAGAGTTATAATATGGTTTGGATTGACTAACACATCAGATCTTTTACTTAATTATGTATCTCCACAGAACAAGGAAATAATACCATTTCAAAATGGATCATCATATTTCTAGACAAACTGACCAAAATAACAAAGGCTATATAGAAACCTATATTGTTTGCTCTTCCAAGGAAGCAAAGAGAAGTAGACAAGAATGCCTACAGCTGGATCCTTACATTGAATACGTCTTGCCTGAGCTGTGATTGCTCTACACAGGTTAGGAGTCGCAGCAGGAGGTCCATGATGGCTGAGGTACCAATGTGATGTAGCAGCAGGTTGACAAAGTCATCCTTCTTACGCAAGAAGGCAACTATCTGGAAAAAACCCAAACAAATTAGGGTTGAGGGAAAGGGGGTAAAAGCCACTCTGGAAACAAATGGCCCTACCAAGTTCTATCCTCAATATGCGAGTAGAATGGTCAACTCCCACATCAGGGGAAAATAATATGTATTATATATAGCTGAGTCTATAGTTAATTTGTTGACAATCTTGCATAGAAATGGGCCATATCAGCCTAATCATGAAGTATACGTTTTTGCAATCCTTGGGCAATATAATAGTTAGACCATGTAACTGTGATTAGGTATCCCCAGGTTCAAATTCCTACTCAGCCATGAAGTTCAAATGAGTCACCACTGTTTAACTTAGAATACAGGAATGTTATAAAGATAAAAGGGATATAGTTCCTTAAAGGATGGGCAGGATAAAACAAATACCATAGCAGCTAGATTACAGAGAATCTCCATTTTGAACATTAGCTTATTTTACAAATTAGTCAATCATATGCTTTAAGAAACTTGGTCATTTGATAATCAATAATTATTCTCAATAAAATACTTATTGCTGAAATGTATATTATTTGTATGTGATAATTAATATTTTAGGATATTATCTTTTCATGTAGGAGCTATAGTATTTACACTACTGAAGATCCACTAAATAATTGGTTCAATTAAATTCATGACAAGTTATATTCTAAGGTCTTCTACAAGTTATTTTCAAAGCTCTATGTGACTATACCAGCTTGGCTAGGTAGCTGCCCCTAGCTCACCTTCAATGAACTTGAAAAGCTAATCCACTGTAACCTGGTTACTATTTGATGGGAGAATACAAGAAGAACCTAACCAGGCCGAGAAGTTAAAAATATATCCTGGAAGAAGGCAATAACGAACTGCTACCATACTGTGTCAACAAAGCTAGTTGAACACACCCACAAAGTCACCATGAGCTGATGCTATTTCAATGGAGTCTTTGCCTTTTGTGTGTGTGAATGAGCAAACTAGAAAGGAAAATGATAGAAGTCCCTTGAGACGAACCAAATGATTAGTGAGGAAGGGAATTTATCAGTTATGATTAAGCTTTATTTCTTTCTTTAGCAGTCCAAAAAAGCTTTAAGACATTACCTGATCAGTCTTACGATTGATAAGAATCCCCATAACCTTGCTGAAGAAGCTGGCCAACAGAGGATTGAGGATTCCACCAGTCTGAAGGAAGCCATAGAGACGTCGCAGGAGAGATTCATCCTCACCCAGTGCATCATTTATCTGTGTGACGTCTGATGTCAAGATCTCGCAAGAAACACTTGGATATCTAAAAACGGGAGATTTTTAAAAGCAGATGTAAATCAAACCCTGCTGCACAAAGATCTCTCCCAGGTTTGACTACTGACTGAAAATGACGAAGATGAAGACAAATGATCTGCAGAATAAAATGTTAACAGAATTTATTCAGAATCTGAAGTTCTGTGTTTCTAATTTACATTTTGCTCTGAGTAGCTATTGGTATTTCCTTAATTTGTCCAGTTTATTGCAGTGATTGTAGCAGTGGGATATTTCCAGAACACTATATATTCATCAATTGCAAGTATCACCATTTTTCTTTGAATTCCAAAGATATAAAATTATAGTAAGAAACTAGTTTGAAGCTTTCAATAATAATCATGTGTAATAATTAATAAAAATTATACAATTATAATCTGTAAAAATTATAATGTGCCAGTAATAAAAAATTGGTGGGAAAAAACAGTTGAAAAAGTAGTCGTAAAGGAGCAGGTTAATATATTGTGAGATATCAAAACATAAACTGATGAAGTGTTGGTCCATAACACACCAGATTTAATTGTGGTTGAAAAAAAGAAAAGTGTGTATAATTGATGTGACAATATCAGGGGACAGTATAATAAAAAACAAAAAATTGGGGAAGTTCACAAAGTATCAAAATCTGAAAATCAAAGTTGAAAGATTATGACATAATCCAATCATGGTAGTCGCAGTGCTTGTTTGTTTATTTATAAAATTTAACTGCTGTCCATCTCGCCATGAGGACTTTGGTTACTGGAACACTGGGTACTATACCCAAAAATGTTTTGGATGGCACTTAGAAGAACTGCACATTGACAAAATTTCTACCTGTTAATTACTTTAGGCTGTGTTGTTTGGATCTGCACATCTACTACACTAATAGAGTATAACATCCTAGATTCTTCAGAAGAACTTGATACATATGAATGCCAACACCAGCTAAAGAATTTGCAGCTATGATTTCACATTTATATATTTATTTAGAAAATTTATATTGCTACCTACTCACACATGGCAACTCAAGACGGCTTACAGGACATAAAGGCTCAATATAAAAGAAATAAATAAAAACAATAAAAGATAAAAATAATATAATAACCCCCACATATGTGCATATATAAGAAAAATAATAAAAGAAGCTAAATTGTTCTGGGATTTTATAATTCAAAGTGATAGGCACCTGCCATATAACATCCCAAACGTAACAACTGTGCATAAGAAAGACAAAAAAGTCTGGAAAGAGGACATGGTAGTACCCAAAGACAGCAGAATACAAGAAAAGAACTACAGAAGACAACAAAATAGAACCTGCAAATAGAAATAGAACAACTGTGGCAAAAGAAAGCAAAGGTAGTATCAATAGTAATAGCTCTTTGGTGGGTGTAAATTCAAAATAACTGGAGCACCACTTTTAACACCTTAGGCATTGACAAAATCACCATCAGTTAATTACAAAAGGCAGCTTTATTCAGAACAGCTTATGTCCTGCTACAATATCTTTTAACACCATCAAAAATCCTCATCTGCCTATCCCAGGTCCTTGGGATGGGCAAATAACAACCAGAACTGGCAATGACTAAAAGCAGGAAAGAGAAGAAAGAGACAGAGGGGATAATTCTGGCTGCACAAGACCAAACCTTAAGAAAAAATGTGCAGGTAGTCTTTGATTAACAACAGTTTGTTTAGTAACTGCGAAGTTACAACAGCACTGAAAAAAAGTAACTTATGAGCATTTTTCACACGACCATTGCAGCACTCCCATGGACACATGATCACAAGTCAGATGCTTGGCTACTGACTCATATTTATGACGATTGCAGTGTTCCTGGGTCATGTGATCACCTTCTGTGACCTTCTGACAACCAAAGTCAATGGGGAAGCCAGATTCACTTTACAATCATGTTATTAATTTAACAACTGCAGTGATTCATTTAACAACTGTAGCAAGAAAAGTTGCAAATTGGGGCAAAATTAATTTAACAAATGTTTCACTTAGCAACAGAAATTTTGGGCTCAATTGTGGTTGTAAATTGAGAACTACCTATATACAAAGCCAGAATTGAGAAGACAGCAACAGGAAGCAATCACACAGTCTGACAAAAACAACAGCAGGACAAGTAGCAACAATGTTGCATTGGAATATTTGAAAGAAATACCATTTGTCGGCAAGCAAGAATTGGCGGGATTACAAAATAGACAAAGGAAATAGAAAACGAAGAAACTAAATGCTCTGGGATTTTAGAATTCAAACAAATAAGTGCCTGCCACATAACCCCCCAAGCTTAACAATTGTTGATAAATAAGACAAAAAAGTCTTGATAGTGGACAATGCAATATCTGGAGAAAGCAAAATAGAAGAGAAAAGAACTAAGGAGCATAACAAAATACAAAGTAGAAGTAGAAAGGTTGTGTGGCAAAAGAAAGCAAAAATAGTACCAATAGTAAAAGTTCGTAATAATTCTTGGGTGCAATCCCAGAACAATGAGAGCATCACTTGAACACCATCAGCATTGGCAAATTCTCCCTCAGTCAATTGCAAAAGGCAGCTTTACTTGGAACTGCCTGCATTCTGTGATGATACCTTTAATATTATTAAACTACAACGCCTACCTATCTCAGGTCCTTGGGAAGGACTCAATAAGTAGATAAAAATACCAAATCCAGTCTAATCATTTGGCTGTGCGATCAATCACAATAACGGATGCCATACCAAGAAATCTTGTTTGGCTCTTTAAAAACCTCCGTGTTGACAAAACTTCCATCTGTCAATGGCAAAAGGCTCCATATATATACTATGCCAATACATTACAACATCCTAGGATCTTGAGAAAAATGTAATGCATATAAAAGCCAACACCAGCTCAAGAACTGGCAACTGTGGCTTTACATTTTTGTGTATATAATAATTGCTAGGTGGATAAAAATGAGAAATGCAATCCAAACATCTGGCTGACTGTGCAACCATACATATTAAACTTGTATGCCACCTGATTCTGAAAGACTCTGTCATGAAAATCCAAAGAGTATATAATAAACAGAGGATTCATACATAATTTTGCCATTAAATTAAGGATCTATGTTTATTTTCTGCTGCTGTGCTATTTTAGTGCTTACTCATTCAAGGCATGGTTAGAACAACCATGGGTAGAAAGGCTGATGGAAGTCCTACACAACCCAGGCAACTGTCCATAATTTCTAGGATTATTCTGTATACTGTACTTCTACTAGGATCACTGAGTTGGTGATTCAGTAAGCATCTATGGCATCTGGGATCTTTTTCTCACTCAGACCAATTTAATTTAAATTTAAATTATGTTTTCCAGATTGCTACTACATTACTCTCATTCTGTACATATTAAACCCCATTGGTTTGGTTTGTTAACTATTGCACATAGCATTCCCCCAATTTACACACAGAACATGGTTAAGCAGAAGGTTTGACCACTAACCTATTATTTTCCACACTGGCTTTGTTCACAAGTTATAGCTGAATGAATAATCTGCCCCTCCAGCCAACTAACCAATCTCCATATGCTAGTAGCACATGGCGGCACGTAATTCAATTAGTTCAGTAGAAATTTATTCTGTTTTTCCAGCTATCATTTCACTGCCCACTCCATGGCATGTTACAGGTGGGAGGGAGGAGTCTAGAGCAGCATCATTGAGCTCAAGGCTGCTTTAGACAGGAAGATAGGAACATATCCATCCCCACTCATTTATGCTCCTTTTATATCTTCTTGCACAATCATGATGTGGAGATGAAAACTAGAACATCTGGTACTTAGAACAGCCCCATTTTTACAGGCAGCTTTTAGGATAATGCTCCAGTTAAACATGCTACCTCCCCCTCTTCGTGCCCACTAGGTGTTTGTGTGGAGAGGATGCAAAAATATGACTCTCCACAGTAGAATTGGGAAAGAGTCTGACACATAAATCTCCCTGGTTCTGGACACTTTGAAGACCTGAATTCTATCAGCAGAAGTCTCATATATTCATGCCTCTCCTTGAGGTCTGAAGATCTACTTACTTATAGCGCACTCTTTCATCCACATCTCCAGGGGGCTCCTCAGTCACACAGGTGACCAGAGTTTCCATATGTTCTGGCTGTACCAGGAAGTCTACAAGTTTTCGGTTGACCACCTTGCATTCCTGCAACACATCTTCCTCATCCAAAAGTTCAAAAAGGGTCACATTCCCACGCTCCAAAAGTGTGTCAATATGAGAAGTTGTGTGGAGATCAAACTTCCAGAACATGGCTTCCTAAAGGAAGTGAAAAAAGAATAAAAGCCGTCACTAAAAGGAGAAGAGTAGGTAGATGTGTATACACATTATAATTGTTCAATTTACATACATTTTCATCCACATTAAACAAGTCTTTCCAAATAAAATTGTACACCAGCTTTTTCAGCTACAAAGAGTATTGTATGAAGGGCCAAGCACAAAGCTTCTTCTGTTTAAAAACTGCATTATGGATCCAGACTAGGAGGAAGAACAAAAGGCCACAGTTGAAAATACTAGCTAATATTGAGGAATTATGAGCTTGCTATAAAGGGGGAGGGAGGGGGAAGTTTAGGATTATTTAGGAAAAATTAAGATGAAATAAATGGTGAGCATATCCAGATCTAAGCAGTGATGGTGTAAAGGTACATAATAAGAATTTTAGCAATTAGAAGTTTCACAAACTTAGTAGACCCCAACAAAGTAGCATCAAATCCACATTTGATTAAATACTAATATAATCCACACATGAAACAAAAAATCAGTTATACAAGAAGGAAGGCAATCTTATCAAGAGTGATGAAAACATTCCTGCAGATTATTGTAGCTGGAGCAGGATCAATAGGATGTATTTGAGCAATTGCAAGCTTTTGGAGAGTTGTAATCTGAATATTTTAACAAGAATATTAGTAAACTTAGGTAGAACTGGTATGGAAAGCTATTATCAGAAATATGCAATCAAGTTTCCAATCAATGTGAAATTACTTTATTGAGACCAGGGCTTTTTTTCTCAGATAAAAGGTGGTGGAACTCACCTCCCTCCCCTGGCCACGCCCCCACCCAAACCTGGCCACGCCCTCATCAAACCCTAGGACCGCCCCTTTAGAGAACAGGAATGCAAGTAAAATTTGGGAGGGGCTTCTCTGCCGCTTCAACGAGCCCGTCCCAGCGGATCCTTTGCCCGGTCCCCGCGCGGCTGGCTCGGAGGGATACCGGCGCCAACACTCGGTCCGTCCCCGTCTCTCGACGCTCACGCTCGCGCGGGGGGGTCTACAACGCGGGCCACGCCGGCCGGGCCTTTTTCCACGGCCTTGACGGTTCCGCCGCGTTCCGGCTGAAAAAAAGCCCTGATTGAGACTGATCATTCTAGAGAGGCTATTTGTACAGATTAATTATATGGTTATTTGTACCAATTATTCTATAATTGAGTTGTCCAACTTAGTTCAATGCTCCAAAACTTACACTAATGTAACCTCCTTAACCTCAACAAAACAACTATTCTAAGAAGATTATAGGAAATTAACTCCAGTAGCAAAAATTCCAATGTGTTCTAAATAATAAGCTCCTAATTAGAAGAATTTAGTATACAAAACACACTGGAATTTATACAATGTACCTCTTGCAGTTGATATAGTTAGATTTTGCTTTAGGATACTGTTCATTTGGTATCTTTCCACAAGAGAATCTATACAGAGGTTCTAATATTGAAGGTAGATGGAATATTTATTTATTTATTTATTTATTTATTTATTTATTAATTAATTAAATTTATATACCGCCCTATCTCCCTTACGGGACTCAGGGCGGTGAACAGGCGATACTAAAAAACCACGATAATAAATAAATAGTTTCTGTTCTAAAATCGAATTAAATAACAGGCCTGTTCTAAAAACACACCCATACAAAAACCCCCACTGAAACATAATCAAAGTACGCCAGGCCGGCCGCACGGAATAGATGGGCCTTCAGGGCTCGGCGAAAAAGGCGCAGGTCCGCAATTGTACGTAGGTCGGGGGGGTAGGTCATTCCAGAGGGCAGGAGCTGCCACAGAGAAGGCTCTCCCCCTGGGGGTCGCCAGCCGGCATTGTCTGGCCGACGGCACTCTAAGGAGGCCCTCTCTGTGGGAGTGGACTGGTCGAAGGGAGGTGTTTGGTAGGAGGCAGTCTTGCAAATACCTAGGTCCATTGCCATGGAGCGCTTTAAAAGTTGTTACTAACACCTTGAAGCGCACCCGGAAGGCCACCGGCAGCCAGTGCAGCTCGCGCAGGAGAGGTGTTACATGGGAGCATCTAAGGCCCCCCAAATCCCCCGCGCAGCCGCATTCTGAACTAGCTGGAGCCTCTGGGTGCACCTCAAGGGGAGCCCCATGTAGAGAGCATTGCAATAGTCCAGGCGGGAAACAACGAGAGCTTGAGTGACTGTGCGTAGGGCGTCCCGATCCAGAAAGGGGCGCAACTGGCGTATCAGGCGAGCCTGATGAAAAGCCCCCCTGGCCACGGCCGTCACATGGTCGTCTAAAGACAGCCGAGCATCCAGGAGGATGCCCAGGTTGCGGGCCCTCTCCGCGGGGGCTAATGACTCACCCCCGATAGCCAGAGATGGAACCAACTGGCTATGACGTGACGCCGGAAACCACAGCCACTCGGTCTTGGACGGGTTGAGACGAAGCCTGTTCCTCCCCATCCAGACTCACACGGCCTCCAGGCACCGGGACATCACTTCCGCGGCATCGTTGGGGTGGTCCAGGGTGGAGATGTACAGCTGGGTGTCATCTGCGTACTGATGAAACTCCACCCCGAAACCATGGATGATCTCACCCAGTGGCTTCATATAAATGTTGAACAGGAGAGGCGAGAGGACCGACCCCTGTGGTACCCCACAAGTGAGGCGCCTCGAGGTTGACCTCTGCCCCCCTGCCAACACAAATTGCGTCCGGTCCGAGAGGTAGGAGGAGAACCACCGTAAAACAGTGCCCCCCAACCCCAACCCCCCTAACCGGTACAACAAGATACCATGGTCGATGGTATCAAAAGCCGCTGAGAGGTCTAACAGGACCAGGATAGAGGAACAGCCCCTATCCCGAGCCCTCCAGAGATCATCTGCATGGTTCATATGTGAAGATATATAGACTGGTGAAGCAATCTTACATGAGCATTGAAATAAATAGAGTTGTTTAAAGTCACAAGCAGGGTTATATAAATCACGCAGCAGTGATTTTTGAGAGCTACTATTCCCAAATCACACTAGGAAACTAGTTCATTCTTGAAGTTCCCAGGAACTGATCAGCCTACCCAGAACTTAGTTGTTGTTCTTGTGGAAATAACTACTTGCCTTAGGGCTTGGCGCTTTTTGACATGTCACTCTCTCTGCAGAATTACTGCAATCCATTATTGCAATCCATCATGTTAAAGAACAGCAGATTGGGCAACTTTCCTCTCTTCTTCTCAAACCATGCTTATGACAAAAGTGGATCCTCAGTCGCATTACAAAATGCAAGCTTATTCAAGAAGATGAGAATAAATGTGGCAGAACAACAGTACAACTGAATCTGCCTGTAAGGCGTCGGTCTTCTGTCTCTTCTCCACTCCCCTGCACTGGGTAAACTTTGGTGAGTGAGATAGATCACATTTATGCTTGCAAGGTTCCCTTTCCACCACTGTAATTCGAAGTGGCAAAGGTTCTCTGTACTGCTGAGGTGGGGAAGAGAAGGAAAGAAACCTAGAGAAAAACAAACAGTAACTTGGTGACGCCCCACGCTTCCCTTTTCAACCTTGTTGCCACCACAACTGTAAAGGCCAGAAGTTTTCATCTGGTATCCAGGCAACCTCTACACAAGACTTGTGCAATACAGCAGAGCAGTTTTCAGAAAGTACGAACATAGAAGGGCAGGAAATGAAAGGAGGGAGAAAAAAGTGAAGACAGGATCCGTGAGGTGGTGTGTGCTTTATTTTACAGCGTCTAAGCTTTGGAATTTTCGCACCCAGAGAAACAGTTTTTCTGTTACTTTTTAAAAAGATTTGCTTTAGCTTAAAATAAACATACAAGCTAAGCAAATGGCTGATATACAAATAAAAACATTATCTAGAACAATAATGAAAACAGCAAAAACAGTTTTGCAAGGCAATGTATCTATCTTACGTACAGGCAGCCCTTAACTTATAAGCATACATTTAACAATGGTTCAAAGTTATGACAACCTTGGAAAAAAACTGTCCTAGAAGTTACGATCATTGCAGTACCTCCCCGGTCATCTGGTCCCAATCTGCCCGCTTGGGAACCACCTCACTTTTACTACTGTTGCAGCATCTTGCAGTCGTGGAATTGCAGCTTGCAACCTTCCCAGCCAACTTCCGACAAGCAAAAGTCAATTGGGAAACAACTGCGCGATTCATTTAACAACTACATGATTTGTTTAACAGACACAGTGGTTTGTTTAGTGACCGCAGGGGAAATGGATTTAAAATTGGATCTGGTCATGTGATGATTGCTTAGTGATCAAAATTCTGCTCCCAGTTAGGACCACTTTATCCATGGCATTTTGATTTTCTTAAACATGCATTTAGTTATTTACACTACCATCTTCATATAGATTCAGATTCATATAAAACCCAGAAAATATAAAACAATTTAACACTCTTTCACAAGGCTCTGAAGACCTGGTTTTGCCAATGAGCCTGGGGGACCCAGAGTGGGATGGAGCTCATCAAGTTTCTTGTTTGATTGCTTGCTGGTGTGTGTGTGTGTGTGTGTGTGTGTAATTGCTTTTACTCTGTTTATATTGGGTATTTGGTTGTCCTCTGGAAAACTGCAAGAGATGCACCATCTGGATCACAAGAGGCAAAGTATTTCATTATATAGGGGCATTTTGATGCCAGACTTAAAGGGGACAGAATGTAGTAGTTTGAATTTCCAAGCACCAGGCTCATGCTTGTAAAAGCCCAGGTTTTCCCCAATTTGTTACATTTCCTAGTTTGAATAGCAGAGGAAACATACTATCTACCAGGAACCCTAAGGAGCTAAACAAATGATTTTTTAAACAGCAATGCAAAAAAAAGTTCTGAAATCAGTAGCCCAAACTCTTGTATCAAAGGGAATATTCCAGTCCTGAAAATGTAGTAATTCTAAAAGGCCAAATTTGATACTTGCTCAGAGGAGCCGGAAAGAAGCTCCATTAATTTAAGGCCAAAGCTGCTTATATGCAAGCCTCACATGTAACTTAACGAATAAGAGATTTGGTCTCTTAATTCCCACTTCATC